GCCTGGGGCAGGTCCATGACAACCTGGGCTCAAAAAAAAAAAAAATTAATAAAAAAAAAAAAAAAAAAAAATTTAGTGGAAAAAAAAAAAAACGGTGGAAAAAAAAGATAAATCTCTAAAAAAATCAAATATAAAAAAACAAATGTGTTGAATTTGCTTTTTCATTTATGGAAAAAAAAAATTAAAAAAAAAAAAAAAAATAAAAAAAAAAAATAATTAAAAAATAAAAAAAAAAAAAATTTTCTGGAGTTCTGCTATTAAAAATTACGTGACGCCGTAAACTAATTAAAGTAAAATTCTGCTCAAAAAAAATATAAAAAAAAATAACTATTGGAAACTATAGTTAAAAAAAACAGGTACCTATAGGAAAAAAAAACAGAATAAAAAAAAAACATTATGGAAAACACTGTAAATAATAAAAAAAAATACTGGAAATCATAAAAAATTTATAAAAAAAAAGACTAAAAAAAATAAATAAAAATAAAAAAAAAAAAAATAATAAAAAAAATGTATTATAGGGTAAATTCTTATAAAATCAAAAAAATATGCTACCCTCCAAAAAGTAAAAAGGGTGGAAAATAAAAAAAAAAAATGTATAAAAAATAAAATAAAAAAAAAATAAAATATATAAAAATATATATATCTATATATATATATATATATAAATCCTAGATTGAGTATATACAAGTGGGTTGACTCGTTCCATGAAGCAAAGTTCGCTTCCTCAGGCAGCTCAACTACCATAAATCTTCTTAGCTATTCAACATCACCTGATATTCCCTTCCCTTGATATTCTCTTTCTGCCCATCTAGGTTCTAAAAAAAAAGGGCACACGGCTGGAAAAGAACGCTCCCAAACCCCATGAAAAATAACCCGCTACTCAAAAAGCATGCACTATTTAAAACGGATCTTATTTTTATGCTATTAAAATAAATATTACATCCCCTAAGAACAAGTAGTAAAGTGTATCAATAAAAACATGGTTTGATTAATTTATCATTATATTTATTTTATATTATTTAATAGATTATTGTTTTTGTATAATATGCTTTGAGATATATATACTGTATGTGTGTGTTAATTATTTTACGTTATTTAATTATGTTGTTTATCTTATTATTTATTACACTAAAGGAATGTTATATCCACTAAGAACAAGTAGAAAAATATATATCAATAAATCATGATTTGCTCATGTATTATACTTGTTAAATAATGTGATAATTTATTTTATTATTTATTATACATTATCCACTTGCCCTCCAGAGGATTTATCCCCCGTCCTGAAGGCCATTTTTTGCGATACCGCGCTGCATTGCTTTAACTGACAATTGCGTCATGCAACGTTGTACATAAATTCAATTTATGTCCTGTTTTTCCCCACAAATAGATCTTTCTTTCGGTGGTATTTGATCGCCTGTGCATTTTTTTATTTTTTGGGCTATAAAAAAAAAAGACCGACAATTTTGAAAAAAAAAACTATGTTTTTTACTTTTTGCTATAAGACATCTCCAATAAAAAAAATTTAAAATAAAAATTTTTTCATAAATTTAGGACACAATGTATTCTTCTCCATGTCTTTGCTAACAAAAAACCCAATACGTGTAAATGAATTGGTTTTATGAAAGTATAGCGTCTACAAATGGTGGTGTAGATACTGGAATTTTTTTATTTTTTTTTGCTAGTAATGGCTGCGATCAGCTACTTATAGCGGGACTGCAGTGGGCATTCTGACACTGGGGGGGGGGACTGACTAACTGTCACTGACATCCCCAGTGACACTAATGCAGTGACACTGTACTAATGACACTGAGCAGTAAGGGGTTAAAATCTGGGGCAATCAAAGGGTTAACTGTGTGCTGTGTGTGCTTTACTTGGGAAACCAAGCTGCTTTGTATTGCTCTGCATGTAAGTGAATGGGTCAGGAGATATCAGTGGTTGGTAAGGTTATGGTAAGTCAGCAGCCACTGATTCCTTAACAGCCACTGACAATTTGGCTGTGTTGTCACATTTAGGCATTGAAGAAACCGGTTCCCTTCCCCACCCATTTGGTTGTGTGGCCGGGAGATTTACAGCCATGTAAGCGAACGGGCGGGTGTCATCTGTGCTTGGTAAAGGATGAGAGGCTGCAAGCAGCCGCTGCTTCCTTAGCAACCATTGACAGCCAGAAGCTGTCACGTTCATTGGCGCCAAACGCCCTAAATGTTCAGCATTCAGACAAATGTCCAAACATCCAGTGTTTCGAAAGGTATGAATGGACTGCTTTCTCTGCCCCTTTCCTTCAGTGGCATCGATTCCTGGTGAAGTCAGTGGTTACTACCCATTTGGAAGAAAAATATATTTGAAATATATGTTAAAAATATTCTTATCAAATATATTGACATATATTTGAAATGCTGCAATTTTGGCCATGTTCAATATATTTCAAAATATATAAATAATTAAATAATAAAAAATATATATATATATATATATATATATATACTGTATGTTGCAATGTGTTTTTATTAAAAATTATATATATAAAAAAATTTAAAAGTTATATATATTTTTAAAATATATTCTTCAGTTTTTTTAACATATAAAAAAGTAAGTTTAGCATATATTTTTACATATATTTGTAAATGCATTCCAAAAATGTAGATTTGTATTTTTTTTTAAAAACTATTTTAAATGTTTTTTTAAAATTATTTTTTAATATATTTTGTAATAAAAATTAATTTCAAACATATTAGTTTATATATATATATAGAATACGGCCAAAATTGTAGCATTTCAAATATATGTCAATATATTTGGGAAGAATATTTTTAAAATATATTTCAAGTATATTTTTCTTCCATGTGGGTAGGGAAGAGGAGGGTCAATAATAGAAGAAGTAGAAAAATACTAACTAGGTTCAGACCAAACCATCATTTCATCCCAAAGAGCAGGGCCCTCGAACCCCTCGTGTATTGTATTGTTACTGTATTGTCTCATGTTCTGTCCCTCACTATAATGTACAGCGCTGAGCAAACCTTTTGGCGCTATATAAATAATATGTATAATAATAATAATAATCACAACACAATAAGCTCAAAAATATTATGTATAAATTGTAAATATATTTATTTCAGGTACTTATATAAAAATCAATTTACGCAGTGCTTTAATATATATATTTGTACTAACCCTCAAGGGGCACATCAGTCCCTAACCCTCAAGGGGTGTACAATCTAAGGTCCCTAACTCAATTACAAGAAAATCTAAGGTCACATACTAAAGGGCCAATTTAGACAGGATCCAATTCACCTACAAGCATGGCCTTTGGAGAAAGGAAAAGGAAACCGGATTAGGAGGAACCAGAGGAAACCCACGCAGGCACAGGGAGAACATAAAAAAAACTCCAAGCAGGTGGTGCTGTGGTTAGGATTTGAACCAACAATCCCAGGCGGATAATTATTAATTTATTTTCCACCCCTTGTTTGTATATGTGTAAAATTGGGCTCCAGCCCAGAATAAAAAATTTTAACTTTTTAAAAAAAATACATTCTTCAGAATTTTTTTAACATATAAAAAAAGTAGTTTTAACATATATATTTTTACATATATTTGTAAATGGATTCCAAAAATGTAGATTTGTATTTTTAAAGACATACAGTATATTTGAAATATATTTTGTAAAAATATTTTTCACATATTTTGTAATAAAGACGCATTTCAACATACAGTGTATATATATATATATAATATTATATTGAAATAGAGCCAATTTAGACAGGAGTCAATAAACCAGCATGTCTGTGGAGTGTGTGGGAGGAAACCTGGAGTACCCAGAGGAAACCCACACAGGCACAGGGAGAACATGCAAACTCCAAGCAGGTGGTGCTGTGGTTAGGATTTGAAACCAACAATCCCAGGCGGATAATTATTAATATTTTCCACCCTTGTTTGTATATGTGTAAAATTGGGCTCCAGCCCACAATAAAAAAAAAAATTTAAAAAAAAAAATACATTTTCAGATTTTTTTAACATATAAAAAAGCAATTTTAACATATATTTTTACATATATTTGTAAATGGTTTCCAAAAATAGAATTTTTAAAGACATACAGTATATATTTGAAATGGATTTTTAAAAAATATTGTTCACATATTTTGTAATAAAAACGCATTTCAACATACAGTGTATATATATATATATATATATATATATATATATATATATATATTATTAAATTATTATATATATATATATTGAAATAGGGCCAATTTAGACAGGAGCCAATTAACCAGCATGTCTGTGGAGAGTAGGAGGAAACCGAAAAACCCAGAGGAAAACCCACACAGGCAAAGGGAGAACATGCAAACTCCAAGCAGGTGGTGCCGTGGTTAGGATTTGAACCAACAACAATCCCAGGCGGATAATTATTAATAATTTTCCACCCTTGTTTATATATGTGTAAAATTGGGCTCCAGCCACAATAAAAATAAAAAAAAAAAAAAAAAAAAAAATTTCAGATTTTTTAACATATAAAAAAGCAATTTTAACAAATATTTTTACATATATTTGTAAATGGATTCCAAAAATATTTTTTAAAGACATACAGTATATTTGAAATGGATTTTTAAAAAAATATTGTTCACATATTTTGTAATAAAAAAAATTACAATCAACATATAGTATTATATATAAATTATATTTTTTATTGAAATAGGGCCAATTTAGACAGGAGCCAATTAACCAGCATGTCTGTGGAGTGTAGGAGAAACCGGAAATACCCAAAGAGAAAACCCACGCAGGCACAGGGAGAACATGCAAACTCCAAGCAGGTGGTGCCGTGGTTGGGATTTGAACCAACGACCCTAGGCGGATAATTTTTTATATTTTTATATTAATTACATGCAATGCTGTTTCTGACATAAAACCACTTCTTACAGAATTTTATTGTAATTAGGAAAATATTTTTCGCCCCCTTAGCCAAAGAGAGTTCCCTGACGCCAAACAGCGACGCCCCAGGAATGGATAGCGGCTACCTGACCAGCAAAGAGGCCCCGGCCAAGGGCTCCCAGGACAGAGGGAGCAGCGATCTTCCCATGGATAAGACCGAGTCCGAAAGCAACAAAGGGAAGAAAAGGCGGAACAGAACTACATTCACCAGCTACCAGCTGGAGGAGCTGGAGAAAGTCTTCCAGAAGACACACTACCCAGATGTTTATGCCCGGGAACAGCTGGCCATGAGGACTGACCTTACAGAGGCCAGAGTGCAGGTAACGTGATTTATTGGCGGAAGATATGAGCAAAAATCCAGGCATGCACCACAAAGGCTCCACCGAGGGTTCTAAAATAGGGATGTTTACCATTAATATTTATTTATTTAGGGATCTGCTGAGCTACATAAGCTAACCATGTTACTGTCTAATTTTAGGAATTCTGTTCTGTGAATAAATTGCCCTTTTTAATGTCTTCCAATGCTGATCGCATGGATACATTTCCTTCTGCTTGTGTGTGGGCAAGTTGTAGCTGTAAAGATCTAAAGTAGCGTGGTAAGGGCAAAAAAAAAATTCACCACAATATTTTGAAGAAAAGTAAACTTTTAATTTTCTTGAAATAACTTGCTTCAAATTTACTAGATTTTTTTCTTTTTTTTTTTTTCTTACTTTTTCTTTCTTTATTTTTTTTCTGTGGGGGGGAAAGGGGTGTATTTTGCATCATTTAGTATTTTTTGAGTGTGTTTTGTTGTATTTGTGTTTTGCCCCCCATTTTTTATGTTTGTATGAGTGTTTTATTTATTTATCTATTTACTTATTGGAGATGTTTTTTCTCTCTGTTAAAATATGTAAAATAAGGAGGTCGACGGGGGGGGGGGGGGGGGGGGAGATTTTTGGCACAAGAACTGGCCTGTGTTGAGAGGAGCTTCTGTAAACCATTGCACCCTCAAAACCACTAAAAACCCACCTTCATTCCACCTTTGTTTTAAGTCCACTGCATTAAAAAAAAATAGAGAATTTTCACAAAAAATTGCCCAATTCTTGCCAAAAATTTTGTTGACATTAAATCTATACATTTCAAAGTATTTTTTTTCTTGAGGTTTAAGAGCAATTTACACCATTTTTGTTTCATTTAGCATTTTTTTGGAGGGGGGTAGGGGTTGTTTGTAGGTCAATTTTAGTATACTTTATTTAATGTTCTTTGTATTTGTGTTTTTCTCCTTTTTTTGTTTGTATTTGATCATTGAATACTTTTTATTTTCTGGGGGGCACCATTTTTTTTTTAAAGTTAGTCAAAAAAAATGTAGGTCAATTTAGTATACTTTATTTAATGTGTCTTTGTATTTGTGTTTTCTCCATTTTTTGTTTTTAAAATTTAAAAGTAAATTAAGGAGGTCGGGGGGGGGGGGGAGGATTTAGTTTTTTGTCACAAACACAAAATAAACCATTGCACCCTCAAAACCACTAAAACCCACCTTCATTTTAAGTCCACTGCATTTCTAAAAAAAATAGAGAATTTTCACAAAAATTCCCCAATTCTTGCCAAAATTTTGTTGACATTAAATCTATACATTTTAAAGTATTTTTTTTTCTTGAGGTTTAAGAGCAATTTACACCATTTTTGTTTCATTTAGCATTTTTTTGGGGGGGGGGGGGTTGGGTTGTGTGTAGGTCAATTTAGTATACTTTATTTAATGTTCTTTGTATTTGTGTGTTTTCTCCTTTTTTTGTTTGTATTTGATCATTGAGTACTTTTTATTTTCTGGGGGGACACCATTTTTTTTTTTAATTTAGCATTTTTTTGGGGGGGGGGGGGGGGTAGGGTTGCATGTGTAGGTCAATTTAGTATACTTTATTCAATGTTCTTTGTATTTGTGTTTTCTCCTTTTTTTGTTTGTATTTGATCATTGAGTACTTTTTATTTTCTGGGGGGCACCATTTTTTTTAAAGTTAGCATTTTTTTTTAGGGGGGGGGGGGTAGGGGTTGTATGTAGGTCAATATAGTATACATTATTTAATGTTCTTTGCAGTTGTGTTTTCTCCTTTTTTTTTGTTTGTATTTGATCATTGAGTACTTTTTTTATTTTCTGGGGGTGCACCTTTTTTTTTTTTAAATTTAGCATTTTTTTTTTTTGGGGGGGGGTAGGGGTTGTATGTAGGTCAATTTAGTATACTTTATTTAATGTTCTTTGTATTTGTGTTTTCTCTTTTTTTGTTTGCATTTGATCATTGAGTACTTTTTTATTTTCTTGGGGGGGCACCATTTTTTTTTTTTAGGGGTTTTTTTTTTAATGTTCTTTGGGTTTTCTCTTTTTTTGTTTGCATTTGGAGAAGGGGGTTTTTTTTATTTTTTTTAGGGGACGGAGAAGCGGGTTGTATGTATGTCAATTTAGTATATTATATTTAATGTTCTTTCCAGTTGTGTTTTCTCCTTTTTTTGTTTGTATTTGTTTGTTGAGTACTTTTTATTTTCTGGGGGGCACCATTTTTTTTTAAAGTTGTGTTTTCTCCATTTATGTGTGTATTTGATCATTGAGTACTTTTTCTGGGGGGGCACCATTTTTTTAAATTTAGCATTTTTGGGGGGGGGGGGGTAGGGGTTGTATGTAGGTCAGTTTAGTATACTTTATTTAATGTTCTTTATATTTGTGTTTTCTCTTTTTTTGTTTGTATTTGATCATTCAGTACTTTTTTTATTTTCTGGGGGGGTTGTTTTTTCATCTCTCTTTAAAAAAGTCAAATAATGAGGCTAACAAGGGGCTGTTTTTGGTACAAGAACTGGTCTGTGCATCTGGAAACCATCGGACCCTTAAAACTGCTAAAACTGTCCCCATTTTGCCTTTGTTATTAGCTTCACTACATTTTGTAAAAATAGAGAAAATGTTACCAAAATCACTCAATTTTTGCCAAACGTTTGGTCAAATTAAATCTGAAAATTTGAAAACTGTTCAATTATTTTTTAATTGAGGTTTTTAAATGTGAACAATACAGGAAAGAACAATACAACATGCACAAATACAGAAGAGAGCCTTCAGGTGTGCTGCCCATAGGACTGGTCCTATTGGCTCATTAAAGTGTTCCAAAGGTGGGAAATGATAATGTTAAATACCCTCCCAATTTCCCTCATCTCTAATTGGAAGAAATTAAATAAAAACTTCATAATGCACTAGGAACTTTTCTGTATTAGACATGTGGAGGTTTGTGGACCTGCACTGTCCCTCTAAAAATGTTTTTAAACTTCTGATGGGTGTCCCCACTGAAAGATGTACTGTTACTACCAGTTCCTGTTCTAGTGACAACTGTATAATTTGGATTTCCCAATATCAATATCAGTGATAATAATCACCAGGATCAGGAATTAAAAAAAAAAAAAGATATAAAATCTAATGATAGGGCCAAGTAATATCCAAGACTACAGAACTTTTAAAATGAGTTCACAGTAAAAGAACACAGAAATACCAACATGTTTCAGGAGTAAAATGTACCCTTCCTCAGGGCTATAAGAGCAGGCATAAAAGATATAAAGATGGGCACATGCATGAAATGAAATTATACCAGTTCTCATTAAAAACTGTCAACTGATAAATAAATGTCTAAACAAGTCCAATCTATGCAGGGTTAATGAAAAAAAAAAAATGTATCATAAGTAAAACTAATCCTAAAAAGTCAAATAATAATAAAATAATAAAAGAAAAAAAATACATAAGTTATGATATAAAAAAGCATAACAACAATAATATAAAATAAATGATATAATAAAATAATAAAAAAAAAATACACAATATATGATGTAATATATACAATAAATGATATAATTAAATAATAAAAGAAAAGCATAATATATAATATCATAATAATAATAATAATAATAATAACAACAACAACAATAATAATAATAATGAACAATAATAATAATAATAACAATAATGCTAAAAAAAATATAAATATAAATTATATCATAAAATAAAAGAAACTAAATCCTAAAAAGCCAAATAATCATAAAATAATAAAAGAAAATAAATATATAAGTTATGATATAAAAAAGCATAAACAACAATAATATAAAATAAATGATATAATAAAATAATAAAAAAAAAAAATACACAATAATGATAAATAAATAAATAATATATAAAAAAATAAAAAAAAAAAAAATAATATATATAATATCATATAATAATAATATTGATAATAAAACAACAATATAATAAAAAATGAAATAATAATAATAACAATAATAATAATGCTAAAAAAAATTATATAAATTATATCATAAAATAAAAGAAACTAATCCTAAAAAGTCAAATAATCATAAAATAATAAAAAAAAAAAAAATACATAAGTTATGATATAAAAAAAGGCATAACAAAATAATATAAAATAAATGATATAAAAAAATAATAAAAGAAAAAACAAAAAATATATAATATAATAATATACAATAAAAAAAAAAAATAATAAAAAAAAAAAACATAATATATAATATCATATAATAATAATAATAATAATAACAACAATAATAATAATAATGACAATAATAATAACAACAATAATGATAAAAAAAATAATATAAATTATATCATAAAATAAAAGAAAAACATTCTAGGTTGTCTCCACTTAGTAAGGGGTGCCCTCATTTTGCTGCTGAACCGTAGCCAGCGTACCCAGTGCTAGCTTGATTGACCCAAAGAAAAGCTGTATCCAGAGAATCCAAAGAATAGCAGAGGTTCCTACCCTTCCGCACTGTATACACAACTAAAAAAAAAAGAAATACTTGTCTATAGATACACTTTAAGGTCTCTTGCACATGGGTAAAAACAGGCAGTTGATCCCCACTTTACCTACCTCCCCCCAACCAACCATCTAAAGCCTAATAGACAGCTGAAGGGAGTAGTACCCGTGCCGAATTTAAACTTTGCTTGTCAAGTTTGACAGATGGCCCTGCCTGTCAAACTCACCCAATGAAGGCCAATGGGATTGTGCCACACCTATGAGCCAAACACTTGGCCCATGAATGGTATTTCAATTCAAAATTGTCCTTGGGAAAAAAAAAAAAAACCCACACATACATCCCGAGGAAGCAATATCGCCTCCTGAACACCTGGATAACACTGCCCTGCCCCCTATAAAAAGCGATCCACCATGGATCGCTTTTCAGAGGGTAGTAGAGACTGCCACCCATGTTTATAAGGGTCCTAAACAGTTAACATGGAAAAAGTTTACTTCCTGTCCAACGATACAAGCAAAAAAAAAAAGGAACATTGATTTCCTGCCAAAAA